ACTGCAATATTGCTGATATAGGATGTGTGTCACTCACTCAGCAGTTTCTGTACCTGTGAGGTGACACGTATGTTTGTGATTCAACAACCTGATTCAGGAGACACCAATCATCAAATAAAATGGTCATATTAAATTTATTCTGAATATATTGTTTGTCAGTTAGATTGAAAAAGTTGCTGACGTAGCATTCTGCACTCACTCACTCACTCACTCACTCACTCACTCACTCACTCACTCACTCACTCACTCACTCACTCACTCACTCACTCACTCACTCACACTCACTCACTCACTCACTCACTCACTCACTCACTCACTCACTCACTCACTCACTCACTCACTCACTCACTCACTCACTCACTCACTCACTCACTCACTCACTCACATGTGTGCTTTATACCATGGTATTTTTCAAGAACTACTGGCAACCTATTCACGGAACCCTTCATTTGGCGCCAAACAGACAATCTGCTAGATTAAGTCCAAACTTACCAAGGCTGCCAAACACTGGTGCCAGCATACTGCAAGGAAGCCATCTTTCACACAGCATCATATTAAAGCTATATTTTGACACATATGAAATCTCATGAAGGCGGATGTAGGGTGGAGTCGCAGAGTAAGACTAGACTGTGATGTTCCTTATGATGAAAGTCATTATAATTATGATGCTGCCACCTCAGTTATGCTAGTGTTTATATTAAAGACGTTCTCTAGTTGAAAAATATCATTCTATTTTAAAACATTTTGTTTTTGTCCCCTCTGTTATGTCTCAAGGCAAAAGTGCCATGTGCTCACAAAAATATGACATGCCTAGTCCTGAATATTTTATGTGTTTGATGTTTCAGCTCAAGCAATTATATTTTGGTATTTGCGCTTAGAAAGTGAATGTTTTGGTGCATTGTTCTTGCAATTGCATGTAAACAACAGCATTTAAAGAAAGATAAAATGTCTGTCTCAGAGCTACTCTGATTTCATACCTCAGGTAGAACAAATATGTCATTGTCACAAATGTTCTATATTTTGTGGACATTTTCAAAGACATTAGCTGACATAGCTATTAGTTCTCATTGAAAAGCAGACATTTTTTAGTTGAAGGGAGTATTCCTTGAGAGACAGGGAAATGGTGAGGTGAGGTGAAATGGGGTTTAACGTTGCAGTTAAGCATATTTCGCTCATATGACGACGTGCATGCGTGTGTATGTGTATGTGTGGCTGCTTGTACTAGCCCAGACTGAAGCTGGTTTTATAGTGCTAGCCCACTGAGATACCATGCCGCAGTGAAGCATGAATACCCCACTCAGACACATTATACTGACTCCAAGCTGACCAGTCCTTGTTGTACCCATTGTCCAGGTGTCTCAATTTGCTGTGTTGAGTTACTCAACTCACTCACTCACTCACTCACTCACTCACTCACTCACTCACTCACTCACTCACTCACTCACTCACTCACTCACTCACTCACTCACTCACTCACTCACTCACTCACTGACTCACTCACTCACTCACTCACTCACTCACTCACTCACTCACTCACTCAAAGATAATGAAGCAGATGCAGTGATGTCATGATAATCTGATAAAATTTGCTTCATAAGCCATACCACAGATTATTGTGCATGCTTAACAATTTGCATCCTTTTTGGTTTATTATTCACAAAACATTTGTCACTTTATAGTTTATTTATGACAGACCAAACATAATATGAAATGTATTCAGGGAGCAGTTCATAAAGTTGATGTAATGTTAAAACAATATTATTTTAGTTATGACGTAACCCTACCTCGCCTAGAAATTGATTGTGGAAATATTGATTTGTCGGACAGTAAAGAGGGGGACTGTGGGTAGCCTAGTGGTTAAAGTGTTGGCTTGCCACGCCGAAGACCCGGGTTAGATTCCCCAACATGGGTACAATGTGTGAAACCCATTTCTGGTGTCTCCTGCCATGATATTGCTGGAATATTGCTAAAAGCAGCGTTAAACCATACTCACTAACTCACTCACTCACTCCGACAGTAAAGCACAAGTCAATATAACATTGCATTAGTCTATGAACCCAATCGGCAAGTTGTGAAGCCATCCTAAACCACTAAGGATGTTTTTTTAATTTTGAAATTTCTTGTATTTAATTTTATATTACTGATCAAAGTGCTGCTGATCATTATCAGATTATGGTGTTATTTATTGACTTAGTTGTAAAACTCTTTTACCATGCATAAAACATTTAAGCTGCTCTTTTGAAATAATGTGATGTTGAAATTATTTATATATACTCAGTGCTACTTCTGGGAAACCAAGGGGTGGTGGGGTAGCCTAGTGGTTAAAGCATTCATTCATCATGCTGAAGACCCGGGTTCGATTCCCCACATGGGTACAATGTGTGAAGCCCATTTCTGGTGTACCCTGCCATGATATTGCTAACAGCAGCGTAGAACCAAACTCACTCACTCACTCACTCTGTGAAACCAAGAAATATTATCTGAATTAACCAAGATACAAACCAATGGTAATTAGATGCTGGGTCACCTAAGGGACACAACTGTGTAAAGCAAACTGCATCATCTTCGGTGAATTGGCCACCCTTGCTCCAAGGGCTGCTTGTGACAAGTACATATGCTTTTACTCTTGAGAATAACATTAGCTGAAATAATTTCATTTTGAGTATCTGAATGTTCATAGAATGAATACTGACATAAATTTTTTGGGGGCCATAATCATATTCAGAAGGCTTCACTTGGTGCATGTTAGGGGAAAATTGAAATCGGGTTCTGCCAGAGAGAACTTAAAATTGCCCAAAACTGGAATATGACCCTTTTTCTATGAGCCCAAGCTTTTTTCAGAATTACAGCCGTGTCTACCATAAATTTTGCAGAAATAGAATTTGTACTGGTTTTATAGAAAGAGCTCAATTATTTACAGTCGGGAGACATTTATCTTGACTGCTCATTATGGTCTTAAAAACACAAAGCTTATCTGTGTCAAAATTATACCAGAGTTCCAGTTTATTGTTTCTATTTGATAATGGTAAATCTGTAAAACGTGAGGTGTGGTGAGGTGAAATGGGGTTTTAACGTTGTACTTAAGAATATTTCGCTTATATGACGACGTGCATGCGTGTGTATGTGTATGTGTGGCTGCTTGTACTAGCCCAGACTTCACCTGGTTTTATAGTGCTTGCTCACTGAGATACCATGCCGCAGTGAAACATGAATACCCCACTCATACACATTATACTGACTCCGAGCCGACCAGTCCTTGTTGTACCCATTAATGCCGAGAGCCAGGCAGGGACCAACAAGTACAATATTTTAACGTCTTTTGGTATGATGCGATGAGGGATTGAATCCGGGACCTTCCTCTCTCCGGGCAGATGCTCTAACCACTACACCACGGAGACAGTCCTGTAAAACTAGAAATATAATAGGCCCCATATGAATATAATAAGAAAAGCAAGTATAGTCTGACATGCTGTGCTCAATTAATTAGTTAGCTCTGTAATAATGATCATTTGAATGGTTGAGATGAGTACTTTCCTGCACTTCTGTATGAAATACAAGTTTTAATAGTTAATACTTTTTCTAATAGAATGAATGAGGGAGACTCTGAAATGTTCTGGTCAGTTTGGAAATGCTCCGTTTATGTTCTGTGCTTTCTGCTACCCTGTGTGGAAGATGGCTATTTTGTGTGTGTACATTTATAAACACTAAGACAAAAATTGGAAACAAGGTAATTTTGAAATGGACTGAGGTTTTTTGGCTACAAGATTAATAATATGGAATGTACAGATCTGGCATAGATCGTCTGTAATCATGCATCACCAGGATATACAAAGTGTGATTCTGTTCGTCTTTATCTCCTCCGCGACACATTTTTAAAATTTGACAAGGTTGATGTGGCATAATGGTGATTTGAGTGAAGGAGGCAAAGATGGGGTCAGGTTCAGCTGACACGGTTAAATCTTTGGGGATATAAAACTTATTCAGGCACAGCAACGCTTTTGCCATTAGCATATAATATTTATCTTGTAACCATAGCAACCTGATCTACATATACAGCGCTTTTGAAAAGTCATAAAATCTCACCATGATTGCTTCAGGGTTGACCAAGCTGAAGTTATGGTAGTGCTCAAGTTTGGAGGAATTTCATTTTGAAGCTCAGGGGCGGTGGGGTAGCCTAGTGGTTAAAGCGTCCACTCGTCACACAGAAGACCCAGAGTCGATTCCCCACATGGGTACAATGTGTGAAGCCCATTTCTGGTGTCCCTAGCCGTGATATTGCTGGAATATTGCTAAATACGGAATAAAACCAAACTTACTCACACATTTAGCTCACCTGGTCAAATAGTTTTTTATGAGTTTCTGTCAAGATGTAATGTCAGTACCCTCTTCATCATTAATCTTAAAGAACTATAAAGTCTGAAATTTTTCATGGAACATCCCAGCAATATTCATTTGTGTCCTGTAGCATAAATGTCTGATGCTTCAGTGAAGGCATTCACATCGCCGACATTACGCCGACAGACATCGCTGGAAACTGTTCAAAGCCTTGTTAACCCTAACTCTCTTATCATTAGAATCCAGAGTGGGAATTGGCAGTTATCAAAACAGATATCGTTACCTTGACACAAGATTTGTGTCATTGTACTCATTTGTCTGAAGTAGTTTTTGTTGTGTGTCATGTCTCTTGCTGAAGGATGAAACAACACAATTTCATCTGAGTGAGTGAGTGAGTTAAGTTTTATGCCACTTTTAGCAATTTTCCAGCAATATCACGCCAGGGGACACCAGAAATGGGCTTCAGACATTGTACCCATGTTAGGAATTGAACCAGGGGCTTTGGTGTGATGAGTGAGCGCGCTTTAACCACTAGGCTACCCCACCACCCCGAATAAGAAAGGAAAAACATACAGGAGACAAGTATCAGAATGTGTATTGACACATAGGTAGACAGATTGGGAATTGTACGTACTCTGTCTGTAGTACACTCTTTGTACTTGCAGAACGTATGAAGGATGGAGAACAGTGACGATCCCAGAGGGACAGACAGAAGGAAAGAAGGAGGAAGACGAGGACAGGTAAGTGTGGCGTAAAAGATACTATGTATTGGGGGGACTGGTGAGTTATAACAGGGGACAGGGGCTGGTGAGATTGATTGCGACAGGACCAAAGTTTACTGGCCCCTCTCATCTTATGTAACTTTTCGATACACATGCACACACGCATGAGCACGCATGAGCGCACGCACACACACACACACACCATGGTCTAATGGAGGGGACAGACACTGGTATCATGCCTATAGTAATAAACAAAATATAAGATCTGTCCGAACAGACTAAAGTGTGTCGAATTGGCACAATTGAAGACAAAATAGCTTAACCTCAAATGAGATATTTTATTCCAATGTAGCAGCAGTGGGGTAGTCTAGAGAGAGACCCCCAGGGAGAGACCCCCATCTCCCCCCCATCATGATTGAACATGCAGTTGTCATGAGTACTTGGCTAGTCGTTTTAGTGCCCATCTCAGATACAACCAGGACATCTTGCAGCAGAAGAGGTCGACCTCCCTGCCTCAGTGATCAGAAAAACACCTTTTCCAGCTTAGAAATCTAATAATTCTGTTAAATGTACTGAGGGCTCATTAAGACAAGACCGTAAATTTGAATGTAGATCCATGCCTTACTCGCATCCAGAATTGGAGCTTTGATTGGTTGTTGATTCAAGCTCTAAAGAAATATTGTGTTAGTCATAGGAAAGATTGAGCTAGAATTTTTAACACATGTTGTTGAGATCAACAAATTTGTCCAGAGCTTGACCCCTCTCTCCAAAAGAAATGGCTTCCATGACGTGCTGTTGTTCTGAATAGTAATTTGTTGTGCTCTCCCTCAGTTCGCTGGATATCTTGATATGGTGGCTGAAAATATTTGTTATCTCCAACAAAAATTAAGTGTCTGATCCCTTATTGTAATACTTTCATGTGATTGTCATTCTAATGGTGACATATTCTGCTGACTAAGGGCCTGAGATTTTGTTATTCTTTGAGGTGGCAGGGTTATAAAGAAAAGCCAGAAGAAAAAGATTTATACTCAGGTTCTGCCCCAAACAAACTGATAGCACAAAATGGATGCTTTGAGAAATATTGTATGGATCTCCCAAAAATTGTTTTACTTTTTCTTTTAAAGAAAAATCACCCCTCTTTCATGTTAACTTGGGCAGACCCATATGTTATTATTGTCTTGTGATGATATTTTCATGTGATCCGAGTATTCTATATGGTGGTATATTCATATGATTAATGTTCCCAAGCTGCTAACTTCACCTTCCTTCTGATTATGGCGTGATACTCTCTGTCAAAGCCAGTACTTCTAACATTCTTTGGACCCTTTCACACATACAGGTTAAATGTTTTGCTTTCTCTAATGACAAAATTCTTAATAGCACAGGATCAGCATGGCAATAAGGTTTTTCAGTTATGCTTTTCATGAATGCTAGCCAATAGAATCCTGTCACAAAAGCATGGCATTAGGACTCTAGAACACATCGCGAAAGAGTGCTGTATAACAAGATATTGAAACCTGGGGACCATTGTCACTTTCATGGCGGTTGAATGAAATGTATCTTGTAGGACTTAATGGGATCAAAGATGGAAATGGATGATAAAACCGTACACCATGCTCATAGCGTTTGTCGACAGTTTATGGTACTTTCACAATTATGAACTCTGCAAACAAGAGCCACATAAGGCATATTTGCTCGCATATTCGGTGTAGATTCTGCGTCCGTTAGTCAGGCGCGTGCATGATGCAAAACATGCGTCACCAACCATTGTCAAGCTGTGGTGGATCAATAACATAGAAATGTACATATAAAGTTTGAGAGTGGGACTGTGGATAAAAGAATGCAAATACTCCAAGGTATTAATGGACTAAAACTGGTCAAGACGGAGTTGCCTCCTTAACTGCTGTTGGAAGCCTATTGAATGAGAATGGTTGTATTTCTTTACCGAAAGGCCAAGCACTGTTCCGGGCCTCCCACCTGTGACAATGCTCGTCCATATGTTGCGGGGATCACATTGTGCCCGTGTCTGTATTCTACTTCAAGTCACCCAGCTGCGACAGGGGAATAATTTCATCTTTATTCTCATTGACTTTTCTCAAGACGTTGTGGACAATATTATTACCTACAATTGTAAACTGGGAATAACTTAAACGCAGCAGCCAATGTTTCGACAGTTGTTGCTCCCCTAGTCCTCAATTCTTGGAGTTTACAGCTTTTAGAGAAAATATATTTTGATGATGAATTTTTGATGTAGCAGTATCTTTTCAAATTTGAATTTATTTGCCTGACATTTTGAAAATTTACAATTTGAAGGGTGTGGTTTACAATTGAGTAATTATTGCTTTATTTGTTTCTTGTGTAGTTGTCTTGTGATTTTGGGGAAGAATACCTGATTTATTGATTGAATACATGCAATCAATATGTATTGATTTGATTGGCTGAAGTAATCCAGGGTCCTTCCCAATACCCAAGTGTTAAAAGTCTAATATCCTGGCTGACCAAAGATTTAGTATATATAGAAGCAAACCTCAAAGACTCAAGGATGCCATGTAGTTCTGCCAGGATTTAATCAATGTACTTATTGTCAGTGTGAAATTCTAAATTCATGTTTACAGCAAATGAGAAATCACATATATTTCCATAATAAAGTTGCTAAGCTAAAATATAGTTTTGTTATGAAGACAAATCCATTTGTCATAGATGAGACAGAATCTTAAAAATATACATGTAATAAATTACATACACGTATAACTTTCAGTAATGAACAAAAAGATTTGTTAGCTAAAAGACGCCAGTCCATTAGTTTCTATTTCTGTTCACATTAAAGATGAAATGGCAGAACCACACATGATATACCTTGTCAATATCATAGTTAATTTCATTTGGCCCATATGCCAGGAGCACAGATATGTCTCCTACCAAGGAAAGGGTGTGGCACTTCTGTCTATTCTTACTTCTTCTGTAAGTCGGAATGCATGGAACGCATGCTTCTTGACTTGGCCTAGATGGAAAGCGTTGACAATGCTGCCGTGTTCAGTGATACGGTTTGATGAGATTTCTTCCTGGCTGGCAAGCTGTAATTAGTAAAGAGCTGACAAAGGCATCGTGCCGTGCCATGTAGGGTTGATATGTGTGACTAGTTTTGAGAAGGCCTAATCAGATTATTTTCGGCGAGACAATGTATATTTCACGACCATAACCTGTATGGGGGATTATTCAAATCTCATAATTACAAATTCGTGGTGTTGGTCATAAAATGAACGAAGACTCTTCTGTAGAGTGTTTCAAATGTATTAAAAAACTATAAAAATGGAATCTGTATTTTATAATTTTTTTAAAAGATGTTTTGATTTTTTTCTTTTTTTTTGTTTGATTAAGGTAATCTGAGACATAATTACATGTAATTAATAAAATGGAGACTGCTCCAAACTGTTAAATCTTATGTAACGGAAAATAATATTATGTATTTTTGTGTTTTCTGTTTGATGGATCCACTGAGAATCAGGATAACAGTATAGGTCTGTGACCTAGATGGATTGTATGACTTTGTTGATGTGTATCCTGTCTGGATGGATTGTATGACTTTGTTGATGTGTATCCTGTCTGGATGGATCAAAGCTCATGATGTCAATCACTCAATGTTCTGGTCCAGATTATTGGCTGCTTTCAGATATTGAATATTGCTGTGTGTGGCATTGAACAACAAACATTGAATATTGCTGTGTGTGGCATTAAACAACAAACATTGAATATTGCTGTGTGTGGCATTTAACAACAAACATTGAATATTGCTGTGTGTGGCATTGAATAACAAACATTGAATATTGCTGTGTGTGGCATTAAACAACAAACATTGAATATTGCTGTGTGTGGCATTGAATAACAAACATTGAATATTGCTGTGTTTGGCATTGAACAACAAACATTGAATATTGATGGATAGATAAATATACCTTTTTACCAGGAAATATTCCGTTAAACTTCTTTTATGTTAATGAAATATGGTATTAAATATCTTATCTGTTACATATCCTTCATATCATGACATGAGTTGGTATTAATAAACATCTTGAAATTTTAAAGCAAATAAATGAATCTGTTAGGCCAGGCTTTCACAGACAATACTGTAACACAGATATGCAAATTGCAAATGAATAGATGTCGCAGCTGAAGTTATTTTAAAAAAAAAACCAACCCAGATCTTACTAACAGGACTGCCTCCATGGTGTAGTGGTTAGAGTGTCCGACCAGAGAGCAGAAGGTCCCCCTGGCCTGACATACCTAAAGACGTTAAAATATGGTACTTGTTGTTCTCTGCCTGGCATTCGGCATTAATGGGTAAAACAAGGACTGGGCTAGTACAAGCAGCCACACATACACATGCATGCACGTCATGTGAGCAAAATATTCTTAAGTACAACGTTAAAACCCCATTTCACCTCACCTCATCTTGCTAACAGGGTATGACACATGACAGAAACCAACCATTTGATAACAATGAGTGTGGGATGATTTTGTATGGAGACTATGTCTCTTTCAGTAAAAACCTATGAGACAAATTCTTGGTAAAAGCACTGCACAGCTATGCATTTTTGTAGAAGGCAATCTATATCTTTTTCAAAAGTCTGAAGCCTTTATTAAGCATTACCTGTGAAAACTTCTTTGTTTCTCTCAATATAAATCCTTAAAAGGTGAACAGACACAACTATCACAAATGAATAGAAACGACTGATATGGAAATAACAAAAGAAGCACAAATGACTAAGAAATATGACGAATGGGAAGAAATGACATACAAGGAGACAATAAGTGTACAGAAATTACTAACATGAATATATGAAATGAACAAAAATAATTACCAGGGGTATAACAAATAAACAGAAGTTACGTCCAGGGGTATAACAAATGAACAGAAGTTACTTCCAGGGATATAACAAATGAACAGAAGTTACTTCCAGGGGTATAACAAATGAACAGAAGTTACTTCCAGGGGTATAACAAACAAACAAAAGTTACTT